GATCGGGGTGGGATCGGGGTGGGATCAGGATGGGATCGGGGTGGGATCGGGATGGGATTGGGGTGAGATCGGGGTGGGATCGGGGAGAGATCGGGGTGAGATCGGGGAGAGATCGGGGTGAGATTGGGATGGGATCGGGGTGAGATCAGGGAGAGATCGGGGTGGGATCAGGATGGGATCGGGATGGGATCAGGGTGAGCTCGGGGAGAGATCGGGATGAGATCAGGATGAGCTCGGGATGGGATCGGGGTGAGCTCAGGGTGAGCTCGGGATGGGATCAGGGTGAGCTCGGGGAGAGATCGGGGTGGGATTGGGGTGGGATTGGGGTGAGCTCGGGATGGGATCGGGATGGGATCAGAACGCGGGAAGGGCCGGGAGAGCACGGGTGGAACCCTGGAAGGGCTTGGAAACCCTGACAGAACTCAATAAATGCTGAAATAATTCATTAAATCCTGAAAGGACTTCAATAAATACTGAAATAATTCAGTTAATCCTGAAAGGGCTTGGAAATCCTGACAGAATTCAATTAATCCTGAAGGAATTCAATAAATACTGAAATAATTCTATAAATCCTGACAGAATTCAATAAATCCTGAAAGGACTTTGGTAACTCCTGAAAGAATTCAATAAATCCTGAAAGGGCTTGGAAATCCTGACAGAACTCAATAAATCCTGAAGGAATTCAATAAATCCTGACAGAATTCAATTAATCATGAAAGGGCTTGGAAATCCTGAAAGAATTCAATAAATCCTGAAAGGATTCAATAAATCCTGAAAGGACTTCAATAAATCCTGAAAGAATTCAATAAATGCTGAAAGAATTCAATAAATCCTGAAAGAATTCAATAAATTCTGACAGAATTCAATAAATGCTGAAATAATTCATTAAACCCTGAAAGGACTTTGGTAACTCCTGAAGGAATTCGATAAATCCTGAAAGAATTTCAATAAATCCTGAAAAACTTCACTAAATCCTGAAATTACTTATAAATCCTGAAATAATTCAATAAATCCTGAAAGAACTTGAATAAATCCTAAAAGGACCTGAATAAATCCTAAAAGAACTTCAATAAATCCTAAAAGGACTTTTATAAATCCTAAGAGAACTTCAATAAATCCTGAAAGAACTTGAATAAATCCTAAAAGGACCTGAATAAATCCTAAAAGAACTTCAATAAATCCTAAAAGGACTTTTATAAATCCTAAGAGAACTTCAATAAATCCTGAAAGAACTTCAGTAAATCCTGATTTTTTGCTTGGGGAAATTTGGGGAGTTCTGGGGAAGAGCTCAGGGAGATCTTGGGGTTCCGAGAGAGATCTTGGGGTCTGCAGGAACATTTGGGGTTTTGGGGGGAAATTCGGGGTGCAGGGGGAGATCCTGGGGTGCAGAGGGACCTTTCAGGGTTCTGGGGGGACCTTGGGGTTTCTGGGGTGGCTCTTGGGGCTCTGAGGAGGAGCTGAGGGTTCTGGGGTGACTCTGGGGTGGCTCTTGGGGTTCTGGGGGCACTCTCAGGGCTCTGGGGTGTTCTCAGGGTTCTGGGGTGACTCTCAGGGCCCTGGGGGCACTCTGGGGGTTCTGGGGTGATCTTGGGGTCACTGTGGGGGTTCTGGGGTCACTCGGGGGCTCAGGTCACTCTCAGGGTCACTGTGGGGTTCCCTCAGGGGTCCCTCAGGCTCAGGCCACTCTTGGGGTCACTGTGGGGTGACTCGGGGGGCTCAGATCACTCTGGTCCCTCAGGGCTCCCTGTGGGGTCACTCAGGGGTCATTCTCGGGGTCCCTTGGGGCTCAGGTCACTCTGGGGTGACTCGGGGTCCCTGTGGGGTCACTCTGGGGTCCCTCAGGGCTCAGGTCGGGGGTCCCGGGGGTCCCCGGGGCTCAGCCACCGCGGCGCGGCTCAGTAGAAACCACGGAGTTTATTTGCAGTCACATCTTACACGGTTTGCAGCAAACACCCGACACCAACCAGCAGCTGCTCACGCGGGAGAGGGAACCAAAGCAGCGGGGCGGGGAGCGACCCAAACCAGCAACAAAGGGGAAAAAATGAAATAAAATAAAATAAAATTATGAACGGAGCGGCTGGGAGGGGAAAGGGGAGGCCCAGGAGGCCCCGAGGGGTTTGGGGAGCGGAGCAGGGGGAGCAGAGCAGCAGCAGCAAGGGGGGGACACGGCCAAGGGGGTCCCAACCCTGGGGTCGGGGTCCCCCCCAGCCCGACGGCCGGCAGGACAGACGGACACGCTGCCAGGGGGGCTCCAGGCCGGGCAAAGCCGCCCGGGGAGGGCTGCAGCCCGGGAAAAGGGGGAAAGGGATGGAGAAGGGGAAAAGGGATGGAAAAGGGGAAAAGGGATGGAAAAGGGGGAAAAAAGGGATGGAAAAAAGGGGAAAAGGGATGGAAAAGGGGGAAAGGGGATGGAAAAGGGGAAAAGGAGAAGGAAAAGGGAAAAAAGGGATGGAAAAGGGGAAGGAAAAATGGGAAAAAAGGGATGGAAAAATGGGAAAAAGGGGGAAAAGGGATGGAAAAGGGGAAAAAAGGGAAAAAAAGGATGGAAAAACGGGAAAAAAGGGATGGAAAAGTGGGAAAAGGGATGGAAAAGGGGAAAAGGGGATGGAAAAAAGGGATGGAAAAAGGGATGGAAAAATGGCAAAAAAGGGGATGGAAAAAAGGGACGGAAAAAAGGGATGGAAAAATGGGAAAAAGGGGGGAAAGGGATGGAAAAGGGGAAAAGGGATGGAAAAAAGGGATGGAAAAAGGGAAAAAGGGATGGAAAAATGGCAAAAAAGGGATGGAAAAATGGGAAAAAGGGATGGAAAAGGGGAAAAAAGGGATGGAAAAGGGGGACAAGTGATGGAAAAAGGGAAAAAAGGGATGGAAAAATGGGAAAAAGGGATGGAAAAGAGGAACAAAGGGATGGAAAAGGGGGAAAAGTGATGGAAAAAGGGGAAAAAAGGGATGGAAAAGGGGAACAAAGGGATGGAAAAGGGGAAAAGGGGCCCTGGGAGGGGCTACTGCTACAGAGGGGACAGGAGGGACACCCACGAGCAAGCACGAACGGAGGGGTCACGTCATGGCTTCGAGTTCCCAAGAACGAGGGCGCGACGGGACCGGGAAATTGTGATTTTTCAGGGGGGCTTAATAAGAAAAAATATACATTTGGAATTTTACAATGCCTTTTTTTTTTTTGTGGTGTTTTTTTATTATTATTATTATTATTATTTTTAATTTTTTTTTTTAATTTTTTTTGTGTTGTTTGAGTTTTTGCTTCTCTCTACAGCTCGTCTCACTAAATAGATCTCTGCACTTTCACACAGCCACCCCCTCGCCCAGTAAAGCTTCAGGCCACGCTTTCCTCACTCGCATTCACAACCCTCACACCAGCACTGGCTGCACCAGGACTCTGTAAAAATTTCAATCACACTTTGTTTTTTGTTTTTTTTTTATCATTTTGTCTTTTTTTTTTATCATCGTTTTGGTTTTTTTTTGTGTGTGTTTTTTTTTCTTTTTTTGTGATTTTTTTTTGCAGTTTTTTTGCCTTTTTTTTTCTTTTTTTGTCTCGTTTTTCTGAAACTCAATATAAACCTGTGGTGTTTTTTTATTATTATTATTATTATTATTTTTAATTTTTTTTTTTAATTTTTTTTGTGTTGTTTGAGTTTTTGCTTCTCTCTACAGCTCGTCTCACTAAATAGATCTCTGCACTTTCACACAGCCACCCCCTCGCCCAGTAAAGCTTCAGGCCACGCTTTCCTCACTCGCATTCACAACCCTCACACCAGCACTGGCTGCACCAGGACTCTGTAAAAATTTCAATCACACTTTGTTTTTTGTTTTTTTTTTATCATTTTGTCTTTTTTTTTTATCATCGTTTTGGTTTTTTTTTGTGTGTGTTTTTTTTTCTTTTTTTGTGATTTTTTTTTGCAGTTTTTTTGCCTTTTTTTTTCTTTTTTTGTCTCGTTTTTCTGAAACTCAATATAAACCTTGCTCCAAAATGTTATGAAAAAATGTACATGTTTTTTTTTGTTTTTTGTTTGTTTTTTTGTTTTATACAAGGCAGGCTTTTCGCAGCGGAGCGCCGCCGGTTCCACATTCCGGCCAGGGAAGGACAAAGAGAGACACAGACACCTTGGAATTCCTGCTCCTGGATCGTGCCCTTCCCACGGCAGCTCCAGCTGCTCTCTCCTGCCGGGGTGGGAAGGCCCTGGGGCCGCTGGGGCCGGAGGCTCGCGAGGTGTCAGCTCATCATGTCGTTGCTGTTGACGCCGTAGCTCGAGTTCTTCATGGAGTCGTTGACCTCCCTCCGGAACGCCGACAGGTTCTGGGTGAACCTGGGGAGACGGGACAGGGGAGTCCAGCGTGCCGGGACTGCAGCGTGCCACGGCTCCAGCAGTCCAACACATTCCATCATTCCACCCTTCTGTCATTCCATCATCCCATCATTCCATGAATCCATCATTCCACCCTTCTATCATTCCATCATTCCACCCTTCCATGAATCCATCATTCCATCATTCCAGCAGTCCATGATTCCATCACTCTATCGTTCCATGATTCCAGCATTCCATCACATTCCATCCCTCCAGAATTCTATCATTCCATGATTCCACCATTCCATGATTCTATCATTCCAGCAGTCCATGATTCCACTAGTCTATGATTCCACAGTTCCACAATTCCACCATCCCACTATTCCATCATTCTATGATTCCACCACTCCACCATTCCTTCACATTCAATCATTCCAGCATTCCATCATTCCGGCAGTCCATGATTCCATGATTCCACTATTCCATCATTCCACTATTCCACCACTCCACCATTCCATCATGTTCCATCATTTCAGCATTCCATCATTCCACCCTTCTATCATTCCATCATTCCACCCTTCCATGAATCCATCATTCCATCATTCCAGCAGTCCATGATTCCATCACTCTATCGTTCCATGATTCCAGCATTCCATCACATTCCATGATTCCATCGTTCTATCATTCCCTCAATTCCATGATTCCGTGATTCCATCATTCCATCGCATTCCATCCCTCCAGAATTCTATCATTCCATGATTCCACCATTCCATGATTCTATCATTCCAGCAGTCCATGATTCCACTAGTCTATGATTCCACAGTTCCACAATTCCACCATTCCACCATCCCACTATTCCATCATTCTATGATTCCACCACTCCACCATTCCTTCACATTCCATCATTCCAGCATTCTATCATTCCATGATTCTGTGATTCCATCATTCCAGCATTCCATCATTCCATGATTCCACTATTCCATCATTCCACTATTCCACCATTCCATCATCCCATTATTCCACCACTCCACCATTCCATCACGTTCCATCATTTCAGCATTCCATCATTCCATGACTTGGTCATTCCATCATTCCACCATTCCATCATTCCATGATTCCACCATTCCATCATATTCCATGATTCTATCATTCCAGCATTCCATCATTCTATCATCCCATGATTCCACCATTCCATTATTCCATCATTCTGTCATTCCACCATTCCATCACATTCCATGATTCCACCATTCTAGCAGTCCCTGATTCCATGATTCCAGCATTCCATCACATTCCATCATTCCAGCATTCCATCATTCCATGATTCCACCATTCCATCATATTCCATGATTCTATCATTCCAGCATTCCATCATTCTATCATCCCATGATTCCACCATTCCATTATTCCATCATTCTGTCATTCCACCATTCCATCACATTCCATGATTCCACCATTCCATGATCCTATCATTCCATCATTCCATCATTCTAGCAGTCCCTGATTCCATGATTCCACCATTCCATCACATTCCATCATTCCAGCATTCTATCATTCCATGATTCCATGACTCCAGCATTCCATGACTCCACCACTCCATAATTCCACCACTCCACCATTGCATTATTCCTTGCTTGCACCACTCCCCCATCCCACGGAATTGTCCAGCTCCACCAGCATTCCATCATTCCATGATTCCACCATTCCCTCACATTCCATCATTCCAGCATTCCATCATTCCATGAGTCTATCATTCCATGACTCCACCACTCCATAATTCCACCACTCCACCATTGCATTATTCCTTGCTTGCACCACTCCCCCATCCCACGGAATTGTCCAGCTCGGAGCATTCCCCCAGAACTCAGCGCCGAGCCCGGCGGGGTCTCCACACCAAGGAGGGGATCCACCACTTCCCGTGAAGGGATTCCCTCCCACTGGAACGGGGACACTGGGAAGGAATTCCTGCCTGGGATGGAATTCCCAGAGGAGGATCTGGGGTTTCTCCATCCCTGGGAGTGCCCAAAGCCAGCCTGGAGCACCCTGCTCCCACGGGAGGTGTCCCTGCCCACGGCACTGGGTGGGATTTCAGGTCCCTCCCAACCCAAACCATTCCATCCACAAAGCCATGAAGGAATCCCATGGGACGTTTCAAACTGGAATGGGATCTTGGGAAGGAATTCCTGGCTGGGAGACTGGCAAGGGGCTGGGATGGAACTCCCAGAGGAGCTGTGGCTGCCCCATCCCTGGAAGTGTCCCAGGCCAGGCTGGAGCACCCTGGGACAGTGGAAGGTGTGGTGGGAAATACCCATGGATATTTAGGATCCCTCCTAATCCAAACCACTCCAACCACAAACCCATGAAGGAATCTTTCCATGGGAAGTTTCAAACTGGAATGGGATACTGGGAAGCAATTCCCAGAGGAAAATCTCTGGCTGCTCCATCCCTGGAAGTGTCCCAGGCCAGGCTGGAGCACCCTGGGATACAGAAGGTGTGGTGGGAAATACCTGTGGATATTTAGGATCCCTTCCCACCCAAAACATTCCAGCCATGAAGCCATGAAGGAATCCCATGGGAAGTTTCAAACTGGAACGGGATATTGGGAAGGAATTCCTGGCTGGGAGGGTGGCAAGGGCCTGGGCTGGAATTCCCAGAGCAGCTGTGGCTGCTCCATCCCTGGAAGTGTCCCAGGCCAGGCTGGAGCACCCTGGGATACAGAAGGTGTGGTGGGAAATACCTGTGGATACTGAGGATTCCTCCCAACCCAAAGCATTCTAACCATGAAGCCATGAAGGAATCCCATGGGAAGTTTCAAACTGGAACGGGATATTGGGAAGGAATTCCTGGCTGGGAGGGTGGCAAGGGCCTGGGCTGGAATTCCCAGAGCAGCTGTGGCTGCTCCATCCCTGGAAGTGTCCCAGGCCAGGTTGGATCAGCCTGGGATACAGAAGGTGTGGTGGGAAATACCTGTGGATACTGAGGATTCCTCCCAACCCAAAGCATTCTAACCATGAAGCCATGAAGGAATCCCATGGGAAATTTCAAACAAATGGGGATACTGGGAAGGAATTCCTGGTAGGGAGGGTTGAGGGGCTGGGCTGGAATTCCCAGAGCAGCTGTGGCTGCCCCATCCCTGGAAGTGTCCCAGGCCGGGCTGGATCGGCCTGGGATACAGAAGGTGTGGTGGGAAATACCTGTGGATATTTAGGATCCCTCCCAATCCAAACCACTCCAACCACAAACCCACGAAGGAATCTTTCCATGGGAAGTTTCAAACAAATGGGGATACTGGGAAGCAATTCCTCCCTGTGAGGGCAGCGAGGTCCTGGGATGGAATTCCCAGAGAAGCTGTGGCTGCCCCATCCCTGGAAGTGTCCCAGGCCGGGCTGGATGCCCCTGGGGTGGTGGAAGCACCCGTGGATGTTGAGGCTCCCCCCATCCCGCGGGAACGCCGCTCCCGTTCCGTCCCGTTCCCGACCTGTCGCGGTTCTTGGTGAGCAGGTTGCGCTCGATGCCCTCCATGAGGTTCTCGAAGCACAGGTGCATGGCCTGCTGCTTCTCCGGGGGCTGGCTGTTCACGATGCTGTTCCTCAGGTCCGAGAAGTACTGCGGAGACAGGGCAGCCAGGGGCTCATTCCCACGGGATCCGGGCTTGGGACAGGGCCCGCCCCCGCGGGGAGCTGGGAATAACGAGGGAGCATCCCAGTGTGTCATGGATGGAGCTGGAGTGCTCAGCTCCACGGACCATCCTGGCCATGGGATCACACCAAGGATCATCCTGGCCACGGGATCATCCTGGCTGTGGGATCATCCCAAGGATCATCCTGGCCATGGGATCACACCAAGGATCATCCCATCCCAAGGATCATCCTGGCCATGGGATCACACCAAGGATCATCCTGGCCATGGGATCATCATTCCAAGAATCATCCTGATCATGGGATCACACCAAGGATCATCCTGGCCACGGGATCATCCCAAGGATCATCCTGGCCATGGGATCATCATCCCAAGAATCATCCTGATCATGGGATCTCTCCAAGGATCATCCTGGCCACGGGATCACTCCGAGGCCTTTCTGGGAATGTTCTCCTCCTCCATCCAAGCCTTTTCCAGCTGGGACGGATCCTTTACCTTCTCGTTGAGCAGGATGAGGCCGAGCAGAGGCCGGGACATGGACCACTGGTTCCGGCAGTCCTCGAAGATGATGATGTTCAGCACCGTGGAGAGCATCTGCCACGGGGAGCCAGGGGTTAAGTCCCATCCCATGGATCCCAAATCCCATCCCATGGATCCCATCCCATCCCATGGATCCAGTCTCATCCCAAATCCCATCCCAGATCCCTCCTCGCCCTGGGAGTTGGGAATCTCCTGGAATGCTCCTGGAGGCTCAAGGCTCTGGAGCTCTGAGTGCAACCAGGGAATTCTGGTGGCTTCAGCCAGGGGTTAAAGGCAGCCCCCTCCGTCCCATCCCATGGATCCCAATCCCATCCCAAATCCCATCCCAACACCATGGATCCCATCTGACTGCCATGGATCTCATGGATCCCATCCCATCCCAAATCCCATCCCAGCTCCCTCCTTGCCCTGGGAGCTGGGAATCTCCTGGAATGCTCCTGGAAGCTCAAGGCTCTGGAGCTCTGAGTGCAACCAGGGAATTCTGGTGGCTTTTGGGGTGCCCAGGTCAATTTTGGGGTGCCCAGGTCAGTTTAGGAGTCTCTGGGGTTGCTCTCCAGTCAATTTTGGGTTCCCCAGGTGTATTTTGGTGCCCCCAGGTTATTTTTTGGCTTCCTCAAGTGTTTTTTTGGAGCCCTCAGGTGAATTTGAGCCTCCCCAGGTGAATTTTGGAGCCCCCAGGTATTTTTGGCCTCCCCAGGTGAATTTTGACCTCCCCAGTTGTTTTTTTTGTGTCCCCAGGTTATTTTTTGCCCCCCCCAGATGTATTTTTTGCCCCCCAGGTGTGGGGCTCACCTGCTGCACCATCTCGGGGTGCTGCTGCATGATGTGCAGGAAGCGATCGCTCTCCTGCGCCAGCGGCGTCGATCTCTTCTTGGTGCTGCGCGAGAGCTGCTTGAACAGGTAGGTGACGATGTGGTCCAGGCAGGAGCAGCAGCCCGTGCACACCATGGTGTCTGGGGACAGCGGGGGACACGTCAGGGCTTGGGGGGAAACGGGGTTTGGGGGGGAAAAATGGGGTTTGGGGGGGGAAAATGGGGGTTTGAGGGAAAAAAATGGGGTTTGGGGGAAAAAATGGGGTTTTGGAGGAAAATAAAGTGAAGCATACAAGGCCAAGTTGGGACAATCTGGGATTGTGGGAGGTGTCCCTGGCTGGGGTTTGGATAAATAAAAGAGGGTTTAGGGAGAAAAATGGGGAAATAACAGGGGTTGGGGGGGAAATAGGGAAAAATAGGGGGAAAATGGGAGTTTGGCAGGGAAAATGGAAAATGGGAAAAAAATGGGGTTTTGGAGGAAAATAAAGGGAAGCATACAAGGCCAAGCTGGGACAATCTGGGATTGTGGGAGGTGTCCCTGGCATTGGCACTGAAATCCTTTCCAACCCAAACCAATCCAAAATCCCAAAAATTCCCAGAACCATTAATTTTTGGTGGGATCAGTGAGGGAATCACAGCTCCAACCTCTCAGAATCCCAGAGGAGAAACCCCCAGGTGGAAAATGGGGTTTTTAACTCTGAGCTCTTCCCAAATCCCAGGAAAACTGCAACCCAAATCCCAGGGAAATGCATCCCAAATCCCAGGAAAGCACATCCCAAATCCCAGGAAAACACATCCCAAATCCCAGGCAAACTGCATCCCAAATCCCAGGAAAGCACATCCCAAATCCCAGGAAAGCACATCCCAAATCCCAGGAAAACACATCCCAAATCCCAGGAAAGCACATCCCAAATCCCAGGAAAGCACATCCCAAATCCCAGGAAAGCACATCCCAAATCCCAGGAAAGCCCATCCCAAATCCCAGGAAAGCACATCCCAAATCCCAGGAAAGCCCATCCCGATCCCAGAACACCCCATCCCAATCCCAGAAAACCCCATCCCGATCCCAGAACACCCCATCCCGATCCCAGAACACCCCATCCCAATCCCAGAACACCCCATCCCGATCCCAGAACACCCCATCCCGATCCCAGAACACCCCATCCCAGCCCCAGGCAGCGCGGCGGCCTCACCCAGCGCCGTCAGCCCCTCGGAGATGGACGACAGGATGTACATGATGACGTGCGGCTCCAGGCTGGCGATGAAGTTCATGTGGTCCTGCGTGAGCACTTCCAGCAGGGAATAGTAGGATTGGCTGAGTTTGGGATAATCCTGCAGGGAAAGAAGGGAAATCTGCTTGGTTTTCCTGGAAGCAGCAAATTCCTGAATTCCCATGAATCACCTGGAATGTGCTGATGGATCTCCTGGGAAGAACCGACCAAGGATTCTCTCTCCCAGAAAATCTGTGTTCCAACACATTTCCCAACTTCCTTCTCTCCCATTCCAAGAGATTTCCCAGTTTTCCTTTCCATCCCATCCCATCCCATGGATCCCATCCCATCCCATCCCATCCCATGGATCCCATCCCATCCCATCCCATCCCATCCCATCCCATCCCATCCCATCCCATCCCATCCCATCCCATTCCCAACACTGCTCCATCCAATATTTTTTCCCACTTTATATTTTCCCAAAGAAAATCTGGGAATTGGGACGGGATTTCAAACCCATTCCAAACCAAAATCTGGGAATTATTGATGTGGTTCCTTTCCCACCTAAACCATTCCATGATCCCATGAATTCCAAACTGGTCAGGATTTAAAATCCATTCCCACCCAGAATCTGGGAACTGGGATGGGATTTCAGATCCATTCCCACCCAGAATCTGGGAATTGGGATGGGATTTCAAATCCATTCCAACCCAAACCATTCCCTGATCCTTTAAATTCCAAACTGAACAAGATTTCAAACCCATTCCCACCCAGAATCTGGGAATTCTTCCTGTGCTTCACCCAGAGCTCACTGCTGGTGCCCATTCCCTGCCCCAACCCCTTCATCCCTCCTTCCTCGCCTCCAGCTTTTCCTGGGATAGAATTCCCAGGGCTGGAATTCCCAGGGATGGAACTCCTGGGGATGGAACTGTCAGGATGGAACTCCCGGGGGATGGAATTCCCAGGGATGGAACTGCCAGGATGGAACTCTCAGGGATGGAATTCCCAGGGATGGAATTCCCAGGGCTGGAACTGCCAGGATGGAACTCTCAGGGATGGAATTCCCAGGGATAGAACTGCCAGGGGATGGAACTCCTGGGGCTGGAACGCCCAGGGCTGGAATTCCCAGGGCTGGAACTCCCGGGGGATGAAACTCCCAGGGCTGGAACTCCCGGGGCTGGAACTTCCGGGGCTGGAATTCCCAGGGCTGGAACTGCCAGGATGGAACTCCCAGGGCTGGAACTCCCAGGGCTGGAATTCCCGGGGCTGGAATTCCCAGGGCTGGAGCTCCCAGGGCTGGAACTCCCAGGGCTGGAACTCCCAGGGCTGGAATTCCCAGGGCTGGAATTCCCAGGGCTGGAATTCCCAGGGCTGGAATCCCCAGGACAGGCGCCTCACCAGCAGGTCGCTGTGGGGGATGGAGAGCAGCAGCTTGATGAAGGTCTGCAGGGCGTTGTCCAGCGCGTCGTCCCCGTAGAGCCGGAAGACGCCGAAGTTGACGTAGCTGCCGCTGAGCGCCGCCTTCAGCATGGAGAAGCAGATGGAGATTCCCTTCAGCTTCAGCGCGTACACCTGGTCCTTGGGCACCTCGCCCAGCGTCAGGATGCGATTCCCTGCGGGAATGCCGGCCCGGGATCACCATCCCATCCCGCCCCATGGGGCTCCAAACCCACTGGGATGGCATTCCAAACCCATTCCAACCCAAATCTGGGAACTGGGATGGCATTCCAAACCCATTCCAACCCAAATCTGGGAACTGGGATGGGGTTTCAATTCCACTCCAACCCAAATCTGGGAATTGGGATGGGGCTCCAAACCCATTCCAACCCAAATCTGGGAACTGGGATGGCATTTAAATTCCATTCCAACCCGAAATCTGGGAATTGGGATGGGATTTCAAATCCATTCCATTCCATGATCCCTTGAATTCCACACTGGATGGGATCTAAAATCCACTCCAACCCAAAACTGGGGAACTGGGATGGGATTCCAGATCCATTCCAACCCAAAATCTGGGAACTGGGATGGGATTTCAAATCCATTCCATTCCATGATCCCTTGAATTCCACACTGGATGGGATCTAAAATCCACTCCAACCCAAAACTGGGGAACTGGGATGGGATTCCAGATCCATTCCAACCCAAAATCTGGGAACTGGGATGGGATTTCAGATCCACTCCAACCCAAAATCTGGGAATTGGGATGGGATTCCAAATCCATTCAACCAAAACCTGGGAATTGGATGGGATTTAAAATCTGTTCCAACCTGAAACTGTGGAATTGGGATGGCATTTAAATACTAGTCCAAGTCAAAATCTGGGAACTGGGATGGGATTTCAAATCCATTCCATTCCACGATCCCTTGAATTCTAAAGTGGATGGGATTTCAAATCCATTCCAACCCGAAATCTGGAAATTCCCAAGTGGATGGGATCTAAAATCCATTCCAACCCAAAATCTGGGAACTGGGATGGGATTTCAAATCTGTTCCACCCCAAAATCTGGAAATTCCAAAGTGGATGGGATTCCAAATCCATTCCAACTCAAAATTGGGGAACTGGGATGGGATTTTAAATCCATTCCAACCCAATCCATTCCATGATCCCATAAATTCCAAAGTGGATGGGATTCCAAATCCACTCCAACCCGAAACTGGGGAATTGGGATGGCATTTAAATTCCATTCCAAGTCAAAATATGGGAACTGGGATGGGATTTCAAATCTGTTCCAACCCAAAATCTGGGAATTTGGATGGGATTTCAAATCCATTCCAACCCAATCCATTCCATGATCCCTTGAATTCCAAAGCAGGTGGGATTCCAAATCCACTCCAGCCCAAAATGTGGGAATTATTTCCATGGCTCCTTTCCAACCCCCACCTGCAGGGATTTAAGGGATTCCAAATCCATTCCATTCCATGATCCCATGAATTCCAAACTGGATGGGAATTCAAATCCGCTACAAACCAAAATCTAGGAATTATTTACGTGGCTCCTTTCCAACCCAAACCACTCCATCATCCAGGATGTTTCCAGGATTTATCCACGGATGAACCCAGGATATTTTCAGGATTTATCCATGGATGAACCCAGGATGAACCCAGGATTTATCTAAGGATGAATCCAGAATTTTTGAAGGATGAACCCAGGATGAATCCAGGATTTTTCTAGGATGAGGCCAGGACATTTCCAGGATGAATCCAGGATTTATCCATGGATGAATCCAGGATGAACTCAGGATTTTTCTAGGATGAACCCAAGATGAATCCAGGATTTATCCATGGATGAACCCAGGATTTTTCCATGGATGAAGCCAGGATTTTTCTAGGATGAAGCCAGGATGAATCCAGGATGTTTTCAGGATGAATCCAGGATTTATCCACGGATGAACCCTGGATATTTTCAAGATTTATCCATGGATGAATCCAGGATTTTTCTAGGATGAACCCAGGATGAACCCAGGATTTTTCTAGGATGAACCCAGGACGTTTCCAGGACGTTTCCAGGACGTATCCAGGATTTAGCTGGGATTTTCCATGGCTGCACCCAGGCAGCTCCAGGAGCGCTCACCGTAGGTCGTGATCATCTTGCTGGTCTCCCGGAAGAGCAGGATCCCGTTGGGAGAGGAGACATCAAACTGCAGCCGCTGGGATCTGCAGGAAAACCGGGAAAAAAACGGGAATGCTCAGAGCCAGGGAGCTGCTCCGGGGCTGCAGGAGCCTGGGAGAGCTGGGAATGCTCCCCTGGAGAAGGGGAATTCCAGGGAGAGCTTCCAGAACATTCCAGGAGAGCTGCAGAGGGATTTGGGATAAGGGATGGGACACAGGGAATGGATTTAAACCGGGAAAGGGGAGATTGGGGTGGGGTTTTGGGAAGGAATTCCTGGCTGGAATTCCCAGAGGAGCTGTGGCTGCTCCTGGATTCCTGGGAATGCTCAAGGAGAGGTTGGATCTCCTGGGAGAGAAGATTGAGTCCCTGCCCATGGATATTTAACTGGCTTTAAAGCTCTTGCAAGGAGCAGAATTCCATGAAATCCCAGATTTTTGGGAATTTCCTACCTGTTAGAAATGGGGATTTAGTGGGGAAAAAAGGGATTTGGGAGAAAAATGGGGGAAAAAAGGGATCTGGGGGGCAACAACCACAAAGAGAGGGATGAAATCAGCTGGAAACCCTTCCCGAGGCACAGAATTCCAGGAAATCCCAAATTTTAAGGACATTCCTACCTGTTATAAACAGGATTTAGGAGGAAAATGGGATTTGGGGGGAAAACAATGGGGATTTGGGGAAAAAATGAGGGTTTTGGGGGGCAACAACCACACAGGGAGGGATGAAACAACCCCTTCCAAGGGGCAGAATTCCATGAAATCCCAGATTGTGGGAATTCCTACCTGTTAGAAATGGGGATTTAGTGGGGAAAAAAGGGATTTTGGGGAAAAATGGAGTCTGGGGGGCAACAACCACAAAGAGAGAGATGGAATCATCTCTAAACTCTTTCCAAGGCACAGAATTCCAGGAAATCCCAAATTTTAAGGACATTCCTACCTGTTATAAACAGGATTTAGGAGGAAAAATGGGATTTGGGGGGAAAATGGGGGAAAACAATGGGGATTTGGGGAAAAAATGAGGGTTTTGGGGGCAACAACCACACGGGGAGGGATGAAACAACCCCTTCCAAGGGGCAGAATTCCATGAAATCCCAGAATTGTGGGAATTCCTACCTGTTAGAAATGGGGATTTAGTGGGGAAAAAAGGGATTTTGGGGAAAAATGGAGTCTGGGGGGCAACAACCACAAAGAGAGAGATGGAATCATCTCTAAACTCTTTCCAAGGCACAGAATTCCAGGAAATCCCAAATTTTAAGGACATTCCTACCTGTTATAAATAGGATTTAGGAGGAAAAATGGGATTTAGGAGGAAAAAGGGGGAAAACAATGGGGATTTGGATAAAAAATGAGGATTTGGCAGGGGGAAATGGGGCAAAAAGGGGGATTTGGATAAAAAATGAGGGTTTTGGGGGCAACAACCACCCGGGGAGGGATGAAGCAACCCCTTCCAAGGGGCAGAATTCCATGAAATCCCAGATTTTGGGGATTCCTACCTGTTGTGGACCAGCTCAGCCATGAGTTTGAGGACGGGCGTGGTGCAGGCGGGGTCGTGGTACCAGAGCTCGATGGCTCGCTGCAGGATGGGCATGTAGGAGGGGTAACTGCCAGGAAATTAAGGAATTCCCACTTCTCCAGGCCAAAAATTCCGTGGAAATGGAATATTCCAAAGGAGGTTGGGGTTTGGGGTCACGCAAGGATGGTGCTGCTGAAATTTGGGTTTTTTTTTTGGAATTATTGTTATTTTTTTATCCTGGGAAAAATCGTGGGTGTGGTAAAAATCAGGGGGAGATTCAGGAAGGAAATTCAGGAAGGAAATCCAGGAAGGAAATTCAGGAAGGAAATTCAGGAAGGATTCCCAAGGGAAATTTTCAAGGGAAAGGATTTTCAAAGGGAAAAATCCCGATCCTTCTGCAAAAGATTTTCAAGGGAAAAAATCCCAATTTGTTTAAGGAAATTCCAATTTTTAAAAGCAAACCAGAACCCAAAAAGGTTTTTTTTGGAGGGAAAGGAAAAAATCCCAATTTTTTGAGGCAAACCAGGGTTTTTGGGAATGAAGGACACTAAATCCTGTAAATCCCTGGGAAATTCCCAAGAAAATTTAGGGAATTCCCAGGAATTGGGATTTTTGGGGGCATTCCTGAGGGATGGGATTTAGGATTTTTGGGAATAAAGGACATCAAGTCCTGTAAATCCAAGGGGAATTCCCGGGAAATTGGGATTTTTGGGGGCATTCCTGAGGGATGGGATTTAGGATTTTTGGGAATAAAGGACATCAAGTCCTGTAAATCCAAGGGGAAATTCCCGGGAAATTGGGATTTTTGGAGGTATTCCCGAGGGATGGGATTTAGGATTTTTGGGAATGAGGGCACCGAGTCCTCCAAGGGGAAATTGGGATTGCCCCCGTGGGGAATTGGGATTTCCAGAGGGTTCCCTGGGGATTTTGGGAATTGGGATTCCAGGGTTCCCTGTGGATTGGTGGGAATTCCCGGGCACTGGGGTTCTCCAAAGGGATTCCGGGATTTGGGATGGGGTTGGGATTTGGGATTGGGATTTGGGATTGGGGTCAGGATTTGGGATTGGGATTTGGGGTCGGGATTTGGGATCGGGATTTGAGGCTGGGATTTGATTGGGGTCAGGATTTGGGATTGGGATAATTGGGGTGGCATTTGGGACCAGGATTTGGGATTGGGATTGGGGTCAGGATTTGGGATTGGGATTTGGGGTCGGGATTTGGGATCGGGATTTGAGGCTGGGATTTGGGATGAGGGTTTGGGGCCAGGATTTGGGATTGGGGTCAGGATTTGGGGCCGGGATTTGGGGCCGGGATTTGGGATGGGGCTGGGATTTGGGATTGGGATTTGGGTCAGGATTTGGGGCTGGGATTTGGGGCCAGGATTTGGGATGGGGCCAGGATTGGGGTCAGGATTTGGGATGGGGCCAGGATTGGGGCCAGGATTTGGGATGGGGTCAGGATTTGGGATTGGGGTCAGGATTTGGGATCGGAATTTGGGATGGGGCCAGGATTGGTGTCAGGATTTGGGATGGGGCCGGGATTTGGGATTGGGGCCAGGATTTGGGATTGGGGCCAGGATTTGGGATTGGGGCCGGGATTTGGGATTGGGGCCAGGATTTGGGATTGGGGCCGGGATTTGGGATGGGGCCGGGATTTGGGGTCAGGATTTGGGATTGGGGTCAGGATTTGGGGCTGGGATTTGGGATCGGGATTTGGGATGGGGTCGGGATTTGGGGTCGGGATTTGGGATTGGGGTTGGGATTTGGGATGGGGCCGGGATTTGGGGTCAGGATTTGGGGCCGGGATTTGGGATTGGGGTCAGGATTTGGGATCGGAATTTGGGATGGGGCCGGGATTTGGGGCCAGGATTTGGGGTGAGGGTTCGGAGGATACATCCACTCGAAGAGCATCATGAAGCTGGTCTTGGCGTTGAAGGCGAAGGCGATGCCGCGCAGGTCCCGCACCAGCCCCACCAGCGTGCGCTGCGCAGCCGCAGCGAGCACCGGGCAGACATCGAATCCACAGCAGGACAGAGCAAAATCAAACCAAGTAAAATACATTAAATTAAAATAAAATAAATAAAATAAAAATAAATAAAATAAAATAAAATAAAATAAACATAAAATACAATAAAATACAATAAAATAAAATAAATAAAATAAAAGGGGATTGAGGAGCCCCAGCTCCCTCTGGATCAATCCCAGGGGACTGAGGAGCCCCAGCTCCCATTAAACTGAGCCCAGGGGATTGAGGAGCCCCAGCTCCCTCCATCCCGGTCCCCCCTGCTGACCTTGGCCTCCTGCTCGTTGAAGGAGTTGGTGCTGAACATCTGAGCCACGGCCTCGAAGGCGGCCGTGAGGGGCAGCATGAACTGCTCGTACTGGTCCTCGTCCTCCCCTGGGAAACATGGGAAAAACATGGGAAAACATGGGAAAACACAGAAAACATGGAAAAAAATCCATGGGAAAACATGGGAAATCCATGGGAAAACATGGGAAACATGGATAAATCCATGGAAAACAGGGGAAATCCATGGGAAAAACATGGGAAAATATGTGAAAATCCCCCATGAACTGCTCGTACTGATCCTTGTCCTCCCCTGGAAAACATGGGAAAATCCATGGGAAAAACATGGGGAAAACATGGGAAATCCATGGAAAAATCCATGAAAAAAACATGGGAAATCCATGGGAAAACACGGAAAATCCAGGGAATATTTATCCCCAAATCCTGGCGGGGTGGCAAAACTGATCCCAAATTTTGGGATGGGAAAATTGATCCCAAATTTTGGGATGGAAAAATTGATCCCAAATTTTGGGATGGGAAAATTGATCCCAAATTTTGGGATGGGAAAATTGATCCCAAATTTTGGGATGGGACAATGGACCCCAAATCTTGGTGGGATGGGAAGATTTTATCCCCATTTTCACAGGACATTCTCCACACCAACCCCAATTCCCAATTCTCCTTTTCCCGTGTCTTTCCCAGTGAAGCTCCACCTCCCCAAATCCCACAATCCCGTTCCCAAAAGCTGGAATTCTGCTGGAATTCCCAGGAAAAATACCTAAATCCACCATGAGCAGCCGGCCCAGGGCCGTGTAGAAGGTGGTGCGGCAGCGCATGTCCGTCAGGTTGGACTGGTTGTTGATTCCCAGGAAGGAAAAGTGCTCGCTCTGGAAAAGGAAAACCGGGATGGGGCAAGGAGGGAGGAGCTCCAGGAAAAAATTCCCACATGGAAAAGGTGGTTTTTCCAGGGAAATGTTGGGAAAATGAGGTGGGAAATGGAGAAAGCTGCGGGATGCTCAGGGGTTTGTCCTGAGCTGGATCCTGAGCAGCCACAAGTGCCAGCTGATCCCAAAATCCGCTGGGTTTATGGAATTGTGGGATCTGCAGCATTCCCAGAGCTGGCAGGAGCTGCAAATCCCACTTTTCTCCCCGGGGGAATTCCAGGAATTCTGGCCCTGCAGGCTGATTCCTGATTATTTTCCATGGAAAAACCTAATTCCAGAGTGGGAAATAGGGCTGAAGGCCCTGGGAATTCCTGGGAAACACCCCTGAATCCAGGAATTCCTGGGAAACATCCCTGAACTCCAGGAATTCCTGGGAAACACCCCTGAATCCAGGAATTCCTGGGAAACACCCCTGAATCCAGGAATTCCTGGGAAACATCCCTGAACTCCAGGAATTCCTGGGAAACACCCCTGAATCCAGGAATTCCTGGGAAACACCCCTGAATCCAGGAATTCCTGGGAAACATCCCTGAACTCCAGGAATTCCTGGGAAACATCCCTGAACTCCAGAATTCCTGGGAAACACCCATGAACTCCAGGAACTCCTGGGAAACATCCCTGAACTCCAGGAATTCCTGGGAAACATCCCTGAACTCCAGGAATTCCTGGGAAACATCCCTGAACCCCAGGAATTCCTGGGAAACATCCCTAACTCCAGGAATTCCTGGGAAACATCCCTGAACCCCAGAAATTCCTGGGAAACATCCCTGAACTCCAGAATTCCTGGGAAACACAGGAATTCCTGGGAAACATCCCTGAACTCCAGGAATTCCTGGGAAACATCCCTGAACTCCAGGAATTCCTGGAAACATCCTGGAAATGCCTGGAGAACCTCCCTGAACGCCAGGAATTCCAGCAGGGAATGCAAACCCTCTGGAAGTGCTGCTGGGATTGGGAACATCATGGAATGGAATCCTGGAATGTTCTGGGTTGGAAGGGATTTAAATCCCATCCTCCCTGGGAAAACTGATCCCAAATTTTGGTGTGATGGGAAGATTTTATCCCCATTTTCACGGGATATTCTCCACACCAACCCCAATTCCCAATTTTCCTTTTCCCATCTGGCTTCCCCGGTGAAGCTCCACCTCCCTAAATCCCACAATCCAGTTCCCAAAAGCTGGAATTCTGCTGGAATTCCCAGGAAAAATACCTAAATCCACCATGAGGACCCTACCACTACCCCAGGCTGGGAATTTTCCAGGAATGAGCCTGGATTTTATGGAGAGCAGAAATCTTTGGGAATGGGAAGCGCCACCAAACCCCACCCCCTCAAAACCAAAGAATTCCACCAAAAAACCCTCAAACTTCCCAAAATATCTAATTTTCCAAAGGTTCCTCCAGCACCACGGAAACGCAGGGAGCCAGATGGAATTCCAGAGGGGATCCAGGATGGAATTTTCTGGGAATGAGGCAGGGAGGGAGCGCTCACCGTGTGATTGTTGAGCATGAACTGCACGGCGCTGAGCTTCACCAGCTTCCGCACGCTGCTGTACGTGCAGGGGGTCAAGGAAGAGCAGAACTCCTGGAATTCCTGGGAAAACCCTGCCAGGGCCAGGCTGGAAAAATGGGATTGGGTTGGGTTACTCAGGAAATTGGGAATTTTGTGTTTGTTCCAAGGAAAATCCAAATTGTGCAAATCTCGGTTTGGGGAAACCCGCGGTGATCACTGGGGGAAAACTCAGGGTCTGGAAGTTGTGGAATTCCTGGAACTTCTGGAATTCCTGAAAATCACTTGCAGGGACAGGCTGGAAAAATGGGATTGGCCTGGGTTACTCAGGAAGTTGGGAATTGCCTGGATTATTCAGGAAGTTGGGAATTTTATGTTTGTTCCAAGGAAAATCCAAGTTGTGCAAATCTCATGTTGGGGAGAGCCTTGGTGATCACTGGGGGAAAACTCAGGGTATGGAAGTTGTGGAATTCCTGGAAATTCTGGAATGTCTAGAACTCCTGGAATTCCTGGGAAAACCCTGCCAGGCACAGGCTGGAAAAATGGGATTGGGTTGGGTTACTCAGGAAATTGGGAATTTTGTGTTTGTTCCAAGGAAAATCCAAATTGTGCAAATCTCGGCTTGGGGAAACCCGCGGTGACCACCGGGGAAAAACTTATCTAATTTTCCAAAGGTTCCTCCAGCACCACGGAAACGCAGGGAGCCAGATGGAATTCCAGAGGGGATCCAGGATGGAATTTTCTGGGAATGAGGCAGGGAGGGAGCGCTCACCGTGTGATTGTTGAGCATGAACTGCACGGCGCTGAGCTTCACCAGCTTCCGCACGCTGCTGTACGTGCAGGGGGTCAAGGAAGAGCAGAACTCCTGGAATTCCTGGGAAAACCCTGCCAGGCACAGGCTGGAAAAATGGGATTGGGTTGGGTTACTCAGGAAATTGGGAATTTTGTGTTTGTTCCAAGGAAAATCCAAATTGTGCAAATCTCGGCTTGGGGAAACCCGCGGTGATCACTGGGGGAAAACTCAGGGTCTGGAAGTTGTGGAATTCCTGGAACTTCTGGAATTCCTGAAAATCACTTGCAGGGACAGGCTGGAAAAATGGGATTGGCCTGGGTTACTCAGGAAGTTGGGAATTGCCTGGATTATTCAGGAAGTTGGGAATTTTATGTTTGTTCCAAGGAAAATCCAAGTTGTGCAAATCTCATGTTGGGGAGAGCCTTGGTGACCCCTGAGAAAAAACTCTGGGCTTGGAATTCCTGGAATTCCTGGGAAAACACTGCCAGGGCCAGGCTGGAAAAATGGGATTGGCCTGGGTTACTCAGGAAATTGGGAATTCTGTCTGGTTCTCCATAAATTGGGAATTCTGTGCTGTTTGTTCCAAGGATAACCCAAATTGTGCAAATCTCAGCTTTCGGGGACCCCCTGGGGAAAAACCCAGGAACTTCTGGAATTTCTGAACCCTCTGGAATTCCTGGAACTTGTGGAATTCCTGGAAGACCAGAAGACAGAGCACAATCTGCTCAATTCCTGGCTTGGGGAAACCCTTGGTGACCACTGGGGAACAAATGAGGGTCTGGAACTTCTGGAATTCCTGGAAATTCTGGAATTCCTGGGAAAACACTTGCAGGGACAGGCTGGAAAAATGGGATGGGGCTGGGTTACTCAGGAAGTTGGGAATTTTGTGTTTGTTCCAAGGAAAATCCAAATTGTGCAAATCTCGGCTTGGGGAGACCCTTGGTGATCACTGGGGGAAAACTCAGGGTCTGGAAGTTGTGGAATTCCTGGAACTTCTGGAACTTGTGGAATTCCTGGAAAATCACTTCCAGGGACAGGCTGGAAAAATGGGATTGGCCTGGGTTACTCAGGAAATTGGGAATTTTATGTTTTTTTCCAAGGATAACCCAAGTTGTGGAAATCTCGGATTGGGGAGAGCCTTGGTGATCACTGGGGGAAAACTCAGGGTCTGGAACTTGTGAAATTCCTGGAAATTGTGAAATTCCTGGAAAATCACTTGCAGGGACAGGCTGGAAAAACGGGATTGGCCTGGGTTACTCAGGAAATTGGGAATTCTGTCTGGTTCTCCATAAATTGGGAATTCTGTGCTGTTTGTTCCAAGGATAACCCAAATTGTGCAAATCTCAGCTTTCGGGGACCCCCTGGGGAAAAACCCAGGAACTTCTGGAATTTCTGAACCCTCTGGAATTCCTGGAACTTGTGGAATTCCTGGAAGACCAGAAGACAGAGCACAATCTGCTCAATTCCAAAGGAATTCCGACCGACAACAACCAAACCCAAACATCCCACGAGGCTCATCCTGCCCTCCTCTCCCCTCATTCCCAAAAATCCGGGGGAAATCCAGGAACGGGGGCCAGCTCCCGTTCCAGCAGAACTTCGGGATGGCTTTTCCCAAGGATTTGGGAGCCCTTCCCAAAAGGATATCCGATGGAGAGGTCGTTGAGCAGCTGCAGGGTCTTGGAGGTGATCGGCTCGCAGCGGCCCCAGTACTTCAGGTTGGTGATGCTGGGAAGGAAAAACATGGATCAGAGGGATTTTCCCAGGATTTTCTGGAATTTTCCCAGGAATTGTGGTAAATTTTTTTTCAGTTTTCCCATTTCACAACAGCACGAGGCATAAAATTGGGAGTAAAATCACCAGGCTCACTTCTGGCTGGGAAAATTGTCCTGTGGATATTCCAGGTTACACCTGGAATTCTGTGGGATTGGCTGCCCTTGGATTTCTGTGGGATTGGTTCCCCTTGGATTTCTGTGGGATTTGTCACTCTTGGGATTCTGTGGGATTGGTTATACCTGGGATTTCTGGGATTCCAGGCCCTTGCAATTCTGTGGGATTGGTTCCTCTTGTAATTCTGTGGGATTTGTCACACCAGGAATTCTGTGGGATTGGCTGCACCTGGGATTTCTGGGATTTGTCACACTTGGGATTCTGTGGGATTGGTTTTGGCTACACCTGGAATTTTTGTAGAATTTTTGTAGAATTTGTGGCGTTTTGGTGAAATTTGTGGAATTTTTGGATTCTGTAGGATTGGTTACACCTGGAATTTTGTGGGATTTGCTGTACCTGGAATTCTGTGGGATTGGCTGCCCTTGGGATTCTGTGGGATTGGTTTTGGCTACACCTGGAATTTTTGTAGAATTTTTGTAGAATTTGTGGCGTTTTGGTGAAATTAGTGGAATTTTTCTGGCATTTGTGGCATTTTGGTGGCATTTGGAGAATTCCCTTCCCTGGAGCAGCAGGAATTCCAGGATTTTAGGGCGAGGAATGCCAGGAACCCCCGGAATGCTGCTGGACACTCACATCTTCCCGATGAACACGCTCAGCACCATGGTCTCGTCGTTCAGCCCCAGCACCTCCGAGAGCCTCCGGTACAGCTGCCCAAAAAAACATGGAAAAAAGGCTTCCAAACTGCCAGGAAAACTGGGAATTCTCCCCAGAAATCCGCTTTTCCCTCGCTGGGAGAAGGGGATGTTGTGGGATTTTCCCATTGGGTTGATCCAGTCCATCCTAATCCTGATTTTTTCCTGATTTTTCCTCTTTTGTTTTTGTCCTAGCAGCATGGCTTGACAGTAAAGAAGGAGGATTTGGGTTTTCCCAGGAAAATTCCCAAAAAAATGGGATTTAACTGTGCTCCACCTCCAAACACAGCCAGGATTTGAGTGGATTTCTCTGGAATTCTCAGCAGTTCCCAAATCCCTGGGAAGGGATTTGACCCCAATCCAATTTCTCCTCCAGGAAGGAACAGAACCCAATCCCAGAGCAACATTCCCGTTTTTTTTAATTGGAAAAAGGGATTTTACATCCCAAAGCACAGCTACAAATCCACTGGGATTAAGGAGATTTGGATTTATTCCCATTTTAAAACCAGGGAGAAGCCCAGGGGGGTGTTTGAGGTAACCCCAGGTATAAAAAAAAATTAGAAAAACCAAATCCAGGTCTTTAATTCCCAATATTCCCAACCCAGCTCAGCATTTGGAAAGCCAAAACTTGGGACTAAATGAGGAAATCACAGAAATGGGATTTAATTTCAGGTAAAATGAGGAGAAGTCATAGAAATGGGATTTAATTCCAGGAGGGATGACAGAAATGGGATTTAATTCCAGCTAAAATGAGAAATGAGAGAAAATGTGATTTAATTCCAGGAGAAATCTCAGAAAATGAGATTTCATTCCAGGAGGAATCCCAGAAAATGGGATTTAATTCCAGGAGGAATCACAGAAATGGGAGTGAATTCCAGCTAAAATGAGAAATGAGCGAAAATGTGATTTAATTCCAGGAGAAATCCCAGAAAATGAGATTTCATTCCAGGAGGAATCCCAGAAAATGGGATTTAATTCCAGGTCAAATGAGGAGAAATACCAAAATTGGGATTGATTTTGAGGAAAAATGAGGAGAAAGGACAGAAATGGGACTGAATGCAGGTAAAATGGGGAGAAATGGAGGCTGGTTTTCCTGGGAAAGGCGGAATTCCGGGATGCCCCCTACCTTGGAAGACTTCTGCACCTGGTCCCCGATGTAGATCTTGCGGAACTGCTCGAAGAAGCTGAGCATGGCCAGCTCCAGCTTCTCATTGCCCGCCTGCGCCAGGCGCGAGTCCGTCAGGTTCATCAGCTGCAGCACCCTGCGGGGAAATGGGGGGGAAAGCGGGGGGAATGGGGGGAATGG